TTAATCCACTTACTCAGTGCCATACCAAACTACCAAAAAATTATTTTATAGAGCTAGAAAGAAATAACAACAAAATTCATCTGGAAGAACAAAAGGTCAGGAATATCAAGGGAATAAATGAAAAAAAAATGTGAAGGTAGCCTAGCTTTACTGGATCTCAAACTTTTTTATAAAGTGGTAATTATCAAAACAATTTGGTACTGGCTAAGAAATAGAGTGATGGGTTGTTGAGGGCCAGCTCTGAGGAGTCAGAGGATTCAGGCCATCCCAGGTTTTCCCTGTAGATTGTCCTCTATTCAATGGCTGTATAAACTCAGGATGTTGGCTGACCACCCCCCTGTTCTGTCTCTTGAGAACAGGATAACCTTGGAGATTACAAGGAAGCAAGAAGGAATATACTTATCGTTACTTTGGGTGATGTTCCCAAGAGAAATACGCTTGTTGCAAATATGCTTATTGTTGCCCTAGTTAAAAGATATATAAACCTTACCCTCAGATTAAAAAACGGAGTTTGTTCTTCACATCTCCCACCTGGCCCATGTGATTCTTTCTCTCCTCACACTCAGCCGGATTAGATTAGACCACAGCCATGGACACTGGTGCTCGTGGCAAGTGGCACACAAACAGGGACCTGAAAGAGTGGCTTCCTCTGGCAGAGTAGCCCTGGACAAGGTGGGCTGTTTGGCCAACAGCTCTAGAAAAGGACCTCCGGTCATTGAGAAAAGACAGCTAACAAGGTGGGGCAATAATTTTCCGTTAAAATAAAGCAAATCACCAGGTTAAGAGGGGATTAAAAAGAAATGAGACTGCCCTTTTCAGCGTCTCCCATTCAAAGCAGTCTTCAAGACCTTAAGGAAATTTTTGCCTGGTCTCCATAAGATCTGGAGAACCATGAAAACATTGTTTGATTTGTGCAGGGAATTTCTCACAAGCCTCTCTGAGGTTTTGGATTTCCCCTGTCATTACCATCTTATCTGTTCTGTGTGTGTGTCTGTGTGGTATGAGTGAGCGTCTGTGTGTGTAATCTGAAACCCTTTGCAGTCAGATAGCTGGAATGCAGCTTTCTTTCTCTCCCCTTCCTACCTCCCTGATAACAGCAGCCTCAGAGGAGTGGATGGGAGAGAATAGGAGAGAATAATACTTTATTATTTAAGTTATATTATTGATAAAAGGCAAGTCGAGAAGGATCCTCGAGTGTCAGGTCAAAATTAGAAAGAAGTAAGATATGTGCAGTTTTAAAGGGACTTTAATAGAAAGAAAGGCAAGAAAGTTTAAGCATGTAGAAGAGAGGAGTAGGTGTAGAAAGCTTAAGGAAGGTATAATTTATTTGCATGAACAGTGTGAACAGAGGGTTTGAGAATAATAGATTTGGAAACTTTTGGAGAATTGTTAGGAAAAAATTATCTTTCTTTTTACATTCTGGACTCTGGCCAAAGTTTTTTGAGTGTGGATGGAAAGATAAGAAAAGCAAAGTTGTTGGAAAGTTTTCTCTTCCCCTCTTCTGCATTCAGCTTTGGCTGGGTTGTGGTGCCCAACTAGTTCGGGGCTGGGGTGCAGGAGAAAGGATGAGAAAAAGGAAAAGAGGGTGAATTTTTTCCCCTCAGATCAAAAAGAAAAGTTTTTATGCATTTGGAACAAAACCAAAAGATAATTTAGTTCATTCTAATTGGTAATGTGTTTGTTTCAAGTTTTTAAAATCTAGTATTGTTTCCAATTGGTAAACTTTTGTATTGTTATGTCAAGCAATTTTTCATAATTTGGATGTTATTAAAATGTGAACTAAAAGAAACTAAAGGATGGTGGAAGAATTGGGTAAAACCAGTTAAATTATTTTATCAAGCCCTGTTAATCTTGTCTCATAATGTTTTATAGCTGTCAATTAGAAAATCAGGTATTTCCATCTTTACCTGTAATTAAAGAACAGCTTACAGTTAAAACAATTTGACTATCACTTATGAAAATTACCAGATTGTTAATTAAGTTATTTGAAGTTACTGTTTTAATGTTAAAACCTAGAATTTTTAATTACTTATGAGTGAAAAGGAAGGGAACAAGGCAATTCCCTTTACTTTGTGGACTTGCCAGGGTTCCTAGAAACCATCTGTGTGGGCAAGGTCATCTGCCCTGAGAAAAGAACTTGTTTGTGTTATAGAGTTCCTAAACAATTAATTTGGCTTACTGAGAAGTTGCAACTTTATGTACAATAGAAATGATTTCTAATAATTGGATTTTACAGCAGAACAAGTTTAAATTTGAGAAAAAAGGATATTAAATGAAATCTCTTACATATGTGAGTCCTACTAAATCTTCATTACTTATTACAACTCCATGAGAATAAAATTAACTGTATCTGGTTTTAAGCTGTGATTAGTGAAACTTGCTGTTTGAGGTAAAAGACTCCTGAACTTGTATTTTTAGCAATAGTAGCTTTACTTTCTGCTCAAGTGTGTAATATACAGAGTGCTCAGCACTGGACTTATTTTCCTTTTCCACCCTGGTTGCAACCCCTCACATATATGGACAAATTGGGAACTATATATACACTAATAACACCCATATATTCGGAAGACAAGAATATTCCTTTCTCCAGGACAGAGGCAACGTTACAATTACCCTCAGATCTCTAGCATCCAAGACACCTATATGTTTTTCAAAATTTAACAATAATATTGAACCCTGTGTTTTTCTTGTTACATCATTTTTAATACCAGTTTGTCTAATGGATATGTAAATTTTACTCAATCTAACACTACTTTTGAATAGAATGTTACTTCTGTCAATTTACTCTCAAACAATGTAATGATAACAATGACCATATTGTACTTTTGGTAGAACAATCATCATTTGCAATTTTCCCTACTAACATCTCACATGAATAGTTCCAGAACTCTGGTGAACATGCTCCTCAAATTATTACTTTCTCCTTAAGTCAGTCAAAACCATTTATTGGTCTCCTTATTACCGGTTTAATCATTGTTGCTTCTCTTATTGCATCTACTACTGTTTCATCTATTGTGCTACAATCTGAAATTCAAACTGCACACTTTGTAAATGACTTAGCAAAAAATATATGTTTAGCACTTAAAACACAAGAAGTTATTGATAGAGATATATTGTGTAAGATATATTAGAGCAATCAGTATTGTCTTTAGGAGATGAGATAGATACCTTGAAAACAAGGTTGCTATTGCAATGTGATTATAGATATTCATATATTTCTGTTAAACGCACTTCAATTTGAAATGTAATTACCTCTATTCTTTTATCTGTGTGACTCCATACGTATACTCAAATTCCACTAACGTGACTATTGAACAAATACTAAATAAGCTCCAGGGTGCATGGCACTCTGAAAATATTACATGGGAAATCTCCCAGCTGTCTCTTACACAGCAAGAGATGGCTGAGGCTTATATTGATGGTATTGACCCTCAAGATATTGCAAGCAAACTGTTAAATTGGATGAATCAATTTAATCCTTTTTAAAATGTATTGAGCTTGCTGTTGCAATTTCTACCTTGGCTATGTTGTATATTAGTTTTTTGTTTCCTTTTTCTCTGTTTTTTAAGATGGGCTCACCACATCTTAAGTGAGCTTCATACATCCCTTCATTATCTCAAGTTAGCACAGAAAAAAGGGGGAGAATTGAAGGCCAGCTCTGAGGATTCAGGCCAGCCCAGGCTTTCCCTATAGTTTTTCCTCTATCCAATGGCTGTGTAAACTCAGGATATTGGCTCACCACCCCCCTGTGCTGTCTCTTGGAGATTACAAGGAAGTAAGAAGGAAGCGAGGAAACCCCCTGTTCTGTCTCTCGAGAACAGGATAACCTCGGAGATTACAAGAACGCAAGAAAGAATACATGTGTTGTTAGTTTGGATTATGTTCCCATGAGAAATATACTTGTTGTTGCAAATACGCTTATTGTTGCCCTAATTAAAAGATATATAAACCCTTATCCTCAGATTAAAAAAAGGAGTTTGTTCTTCACATCTCCCACCTGGCCTGCGTGATTCTTTCTCTCCTCACACTCAGCCAGATTATATTAGACCACGGCTGGCAATGGGTCAGTGGAAAAGATTAGATACACAATATGTCACAGGAAATGATCATAGTAATCTAGCCTTTGATACACTGAAAGATCCAAGCTTTTGGGACAAAAATTACTGGGAAAACTGGAAAACAGTGTGGCAAATTAGGAGATCAAGGAACAGTTTGCTTGTCAGGTCTACAGATAAGGGAAGAATTTAGGACCAAACAAGATATAGAGAGAATTACTAAATGTAAATGGATTATGTTGATTACATAAAATTGAAAAGGTTTTGCACAAAAAAAAAAACCCTAACGCCACCAAAAATAGAAGGAAAACAGAAAACTTGGGGGAAAAAATTTTATAGCAAGCATCTCTGATAAAGGCCTCATTTCTTAAATAAATAGAGATCTGAGTCAAATTTGTAAGAATACAAGTAATTCTCCAATTGATAAAGGTTCAAAGGATACAAACAGGCAGTTTTCAAAGAAATCGGAACTATCTATGGTCACACACAAAAAAATGCTCTAAATCACTATTGATTAGAGAAATGCAAATTAAAACAACTGTGAGGTATCACCTCACACATATCAGATAAGCTAATATGACAAAAGACGAAAATGATAAATGTTGGAGGGCATGTGGGAAAACTGGGACATTAAATCACTGTTGCTGGAGCTGTGAACTGATCCAACCATTCTGGAGAGCAATTTAGAATTATACCCAAAGGGCCATAAAACTCTGCATGCCTTTTGATCCAGCAATACCACTGCTAGGTCTGTATCCCAAAAGGACTTTTTTAAGGGAAAAAAAACCTGTTTCTACAAAAATATTTATGGCAGCTCTTTTTTTGGTAGCTAAGGATTAAAAATTGAGGGGATAAAAGGGACAAGATAGAAGAACAGTATAGGAAAGGGCTAGATGGGATGGTGCCCATTTGCATAGTACAGAACAAAGAGTCAAAGACAAATTCTTCAATTCAACAAATGTTTATTAAATACTGACCTGATGCTTTCAGCTTCCTTTAGAGGGCAGTCCTGCTGCTTCCTCAGTTTTTATTGTATCTTTGGATCAACTGGAATAGCCAGGCCCAGCAGTCAAGAGCATAACCTGATGTGAAAGGGACTGGTCAAGTTCTGCAGACACTCCCTAAGTCTGGTCCTCTCTGCCTAACTCCCAAACCAAATTAGTCTCAGCCACTGGCTGGATCAGTTGCAATACAAAGGCTTCTACATGTGTTTCAGTCCTGTGGTACCATAACTTTATCACTGGAGGGAATAAAAAGGTAGGAGGATTTAATAGGCAGGGTAAGGAAAACTAGATAAGAATAGGGAGGAATCTAAGGAAGGGTTACTTAGGTTGAATAAGGCTTTCCTTCAGGTTCTGGAATTTGTTTCTACTACAGGAACTATTTTAAGCTTTTAAGTATGATGGAATCCATTGGTCAATGGTAACAAGCATATTTATAGCCAAAAGAGCAGAGTTCACAATTAAACTTGTTCATCAATTTATGACAACATAATCAGGGCGACCCTGATTATGTGAAGTTATGAACAGTTACGGAAAATCAGAGGTCATGAGCTATAATACCAGCTCCTTCATCCAGATAATGACTTAATTTTCAGCTGTGATGAACGACTTACAGATTCTTTTTCTCTCTCCTTGGCATTCTCCACTTCCTCCTGATGCAGGAAGAAAATCTTTCCTTTAACCACTCACAATCATATGATTTCTTTTCACTCTGAATTCTCTGATATAGAAAGGTTGTTGGTAAAAAGCCTCTCTGGGTCCATTGCAACCAAAAAGATTCTACTCCATGATGCAACTGGTGATATGCAGTAAGAGTTACCCTCAGGTCAAAGATTTTCCCACAGGATTTTCACTCAAAAGGTTGATTTCCCAAGCGAATCTTAATGATGCCTCATGAGGGACGTGCTGCTACTGAAAGCCTTTCCCCAGTCATTCCATTGAAAGAGTTTTCTTCCAATGTGAATTTGATGATGGCTCCTACATTAGGAGTTTATGAGGAAGGTCTTTTCACAATTATTACACTTATATTGTTTTTCTCCAGTGTGAATTTTCAGGTGTTCTGTAAGGATTCCCTTTTGATTGTAGGATTTCCCACATTCATTGCATTCAGAGGGTTTCTCTCTGGCATGAGTTGTCTGATGTGTGGCAAGATTTCCACAGTGCCTAAATGTCATCCCACATTCGGGGCAATGAAAGAGTTCCTTTCCAGTGTGAATTATCTGGTGTGACCTGAGAGATGAGCCTGTGGCAAAGGCTTTCCCACAATCATCACATCCATATGGCTTCTCTCCAGTGTGACTTCTCTTATGTTCAATAAGGGATGCCCCTCGGTCAAAGCCTTTTCCACATTCATTACATTCAAAGGGCTTCTCACCAGTATGAATTCTCTGGTGTACGGTGAGGTTTCCTTTCTGGCTAAAGGCTTTTCCACATATACGACACCCAAAGGGTTTCTCTCCAGTGTGAATTAATTGATGGGATCTAAGGGTTGAGGTACTCTTGAAGGTTTTCCCACATTCGTTACATTCATAAGGTTTCTCTCCAGTATGAATCTTCTTATGTTCAGTGAGAACTGTCCTCCAGTTGAAGCTTTTCCCACATTCATTACAAGTGAAAGGTTTCTCTCCGGTATGAATTCTCATGTGCTCAATAAGGGTTACCCTCTGACTAAAGGCTTTCCCACATTCATTGCAATCAAAAGCTTTTTCTCCCGTATGGGTTCTCTGATGCTTAATGAGGTTGCCCCGCTGATTGAAAGCTATCCCACATTCACTGCACTCAAACGGTTTCTTTCCAGTATGAATTAGCTGATGCCTCTTGAGGGACATGCATTTGCTGAAGACTTTTCCACAATCATTACATTTGTACAATTTCTCTCCAGTATGAATTCTTTTGTGCTCAATAAGTCTTTCCCTCTGGCTGAAGGTTTTCTTACATTCACCACATTCGAAGAATTTCTCTTTGGAATGAATTCTCTGATGCATGGTAAAGTTCCCTCTTTGGTTAAAAAACATACCGCATTCACTGCACTCAAAGGTTTTCTTTGAAGTATGACTTTTCTGATGTGTCCTGAGGGCTGAACGATTGCTAAAGGTTTTCCCACAATCATTACATCCATATGGCTTTTCTCCCGTATGAATTCTCTTATGTCCCATAAGGTTTGTCTTCCGGTTGAAGCTTTTCCCACATTCATTACATGTAAAGGGCTTCTCACCAGTGTGAATTCTCTTATGCTCAATAAGGCTTCCCCTCTGGATGAAAGCTTTCCCACATTCATCACATTCAAAGGGCTTTTCTCCAGTATGAATTCGTTGATGTTTAGTGAGGTTTCCTTTCTGAGTGAATGCTCTCCCACACTCACTGCACTCAAAGGGTTTATTTCCAGTATGAATTAGCTGATGTTTCCTTAGGGATGAGCTATTCCCAAGGACTTTCCCACAATCATGACATTCAAATAACTTTGTATTTGTGTGCTTTCTTTTATGCTGAATAGGATCTGGACAATAACTGGAGGAATCACTGTACTTACTACACTTACAAACCTTCTTCCCTGAGGAGATTCTATTCAACTGAATCAGGTCAGAAAATGGTTTGAAACTCTTTCCATATGTAGCACATTTCTGGAAACTTCTTCCTGTGCAAATCCCTGGCAATGAATTCAAGGGTGATTGCACATTGAAGCTTTGCTCCAATGTAGTATGTTCATTGGAAGGATGACCAGTTTTTTCACTGGTGATGGCTAGCTGCCTGGATTGTCTCTTCTTGCTCCCATTCTGTCTCTTTAACCAAACAGGAAATTCCCAGGCTTCCCCAAATCTGGAATCCCAGATGCCATCCTTTGCAAAACTTTGTGTGGATAATTCTCTTACAGAAGTGTTCTCTTCTGGAGTCAACTCTTCAGTTGGACAGCTCTCCATCTGTTTACAGAAATCTGAAAGGAAAAAAGAAACATCAACATTGACTGGTTTCTATTACTTACTAAAGGTAAATGCTTTACATCTAGCTGTTAGAGTCCATCTCCTTCCTTAAGAAGGATGACTATCAGGGGCAGCTAGGTGATGAAGTGGATAGAGGATTGACCCTGGAGTTGGAAGGACCTGAGTTCAACTCTGGCTTCAGACACTTATTAGCTGTATGACTATGGGCAAGTCACTTAACCCTGATTACTTCTCTAAGAAAGAAGGATAATTATCATTCATACATGACAGAACACTGCCCAAGAGGGAATCTAAAGACAATATAAGGAACAGGCCCCAATGTAGCCTGGAGGGGCAGCACTGCAAAACACTATCCCACAGAAGTAATAAGATTCATGTCATTCTTCCAGTGAAGATGGTAATGTAAAAGGCAGAAGCTCTTACAGACTCACACACACATAGGTGTGTACCCAGAAGATATCTGAAAAAGTACCCAGAAAGAACAAAAAAAAAGTGGATAGAAACAAAAACAAGCTCCTCTGTGCGTGCACACACACACACACACACACACACACACACACACACACACAATATGAACAGAACCCAGAGGCAGTGAAGTGATGGCTCTCAGCAGGGAGCTCAGGACAAGCCCCAACAAACATAGGGAGAGTGGCCTTGAAAGGAAAATACCAAGACACAATGAAGAAGTATTATGTATTAAAAGGAGTCCAACAGATGAAAAAAATAATTTTACAAACCAAAGATTGAGCTTTGAAAAGCTTGCTTAGCCACAAGGACTATAACAACAACTAGAAGAAATGAAGCAAGAATTTTTATTTTTAGCAAAATTACAATTGAAGACTCTGAAGGAAAAAACTGGAAAGAAAATTAATAGTTTAGGACAGGAGATAGAAAGTCTTGCTCAAACACTGCGCTCCATGAAAAACAAAATGGAGCTATCAGAACTCATGTCTTCCCTCCATGGCACCACATTAAAAATCTTGGAATAGGACGCTCCAAAAGGCAAATGAGAAAGTCTTACAATCAAGAATAACTTAACTTGCAGAAATGAGCATAATTATCCAGGAATAAAAATGGACATTCAAGCATTTCTAATGAAAAGAACCAAGCCAAGCAGAAGCCCTGAAATACAAACATCTTTTACTGATGATGACATCAAATAAAAATTAAAATCATCAAAATGCCTTTTAAGAAAGGATTCAAATTTAGATAGTAAATAATTTAATTCTAAAGAATTTTTGGGTCAAAGAACAAATCATAGAAATAACAGGTAATGTCATCAAAGAAAATTACAACAATGAGACAACATACCAAAACTTTTGGAAAAATATGGCCAAAGCAGTGGGTGGGGGGAGGGGAGAGAATTATTTCTTTAGTCACTTGGCACAAAAAATAAAAATAAAAAAGGACAGAGAGAAAGAAGAGATAAACGAATTGGGCAACAAAAAATAAAAACAAAAGCAACAAGCCAAAAAAGCTCCAACTAAATATAAAAATACAAACTCCAAAAATCAATGAAATAAGTACAACTGAAGGCAAAAAAATCCACTAAGGTGATAAATACAGCTAGTAGCTGAACTTTAAAAAACTAATAAAATAAACCATTTTCTAATATGATCTTTTTTTAAAGAGAAAAAAAAACTACCAATCAAAAATAGAAAGAACTCCCAACCAATAAAGAAGAAATAAAGCAAATTTGAACCCAGGTAGCCCAATTATATGTGTACAAAAATGATAAAGAAATGAATGAATATTTTTAAATAGCTGATACACAGATTAATAGAAAATTAAATCAAGAATTTAAAAAACCCAATCTCAGAACAGGAATTTGAATAAATAGAAGTTCCCCAAGGGGAAAAAAAAACAGAACCAGGTAGATATAATAAAAATAAGTGTATTCTATTAAAAATTCAAAGAACAATTCATTCTAATATTATATAAATTGTTTGCAAAAATAGAGAAATAAGAGTTGATTAAATTGCCCATGAAATTAACATCACCCTAATAGCTAAACTATGAATGAGCGAAAGAGGCAAAGGAATCAGCCCAACCACAACTTCCTCTAGGGAAGCCCAAGCCAGAGTAAACTCTCATTGAGAAAGAAAGAAACAAAAATCCAACAGGTGAAAGACTGTTAATATGTAGTTTGCTAAGTCCACACAGCAGTCTACAGGGATCCTTCCTTAGTTCAGTGACCCCCCTTTCTATTTAAATTTGACACCACCAGTTTAAAGTATGCTCGGCTTAAAAATGAAACAAACAACAACTAAGAAATTAGCTGAAACAGCAACTCTACTAATGTAGCAGGAAACAAGAGACCTCCCACAATGTTCATCAGCCATCCCCCGTGCTAGGTCAACAAAATACAGCAGGAAGAGATGGAAAAAATGAAACTCCTTTCAAAGTAAAGACAGAATGTATAAAATATCGGAGAGTCTCCCTCCCAAAACACAGGCAAGGCCCAAATGAACATAACCATACACCATTTCCCAATAGGTAAGGTTCCCTGGAACCACAACCCTGTGCCCCTTTCCAGGCATTTCCACAGATGCCACCACAGACGTAACCCAACCCTTCACCTCTCCCCTCTCCCACTAGCTTTAATTTTTTTTTCATTTTTAATATTTTATGTTTCCCCAACTACATGTAAAAAAAAATTAACTTTTTTTAAAAAATTTTTTAAGTTCTAAATTTTCTCCCTGCCTCCCTCCCCTCTCCCCTCCTTCAGACAATAAGCAATCTGACACTGGCTAGACGTGTGCAATCATTTATCATTCTGTCCGACTAGCTTTACTGACCTTTGTCTTTCATCATGAAAATGTAAGCTCCTTGCGGGCAGGGATGGTCTAGGGGGCTTGTATTTGTATCCACAGTGCTGGGTATAAATAAGCACTGAATAATTGCTTTATATTCTCTCCATAAATGAGTTTATGTAATTCATTCGCTTGTTATATAAATAAAGACAAAAAAAATTGAGAGAGATTAATTGCATATGGTTGGGCTGAATCTGAACTCTGGTCTGGCTGACCCAAGTTGAACACTGTTGGCCCACCCTGCCTTCCCTTGGAGTGGGATGTGTGGGAAACAGCAGGGTCAAGCCAAGAGGACTCAGGAATACTGTTTTCTTTCTAATTCTAAATCAGATGATGTCCATGGGGGGGGGGAGGGAAGCAAGCAACCTGACCAGAAGGAGAGAAGAGGATGCGGCAGGCCAGGGTCAAGAGCATCGCTCACTCACCTGGACAGCAGCTTTGGTGGCCTCCTCTTTCTGGCCTCCATGGTGCTTCTCCCCTCTCCAGCCGGGAGATCACAGCGGGTTTGCAGCCCAAAAGTCCTGTTCAGAAGCCAAGAAACAGCAGGCCCAGCAGATGACACAGACAGGATGTCCTCTGTCATCCAGTCAGCCCCCAGCCCACCCTCCCATTGCACAAAGCAAAGAAAGTCCCTTCCCTGAGACCTGAAGGCCCTCTCCCCAAAAGCCAAGACTCCAGGAGAGCCTCCCAGACCCCCTGGCCCAGCAGCTGGTGAGAGCACATGGAGACCCCAGGACTGTCCTGAGCACTCCTTACCCAGGGACACGAGGACCTCATAGGTGTCTAGCATCACCTCCCTGTACAGGTCTTGCTGCGCAGGATGCAGACGCCCCCACTCCTCCCAGGTGAAGACCACAGCCACATCCTTGAAGCTCACAGCTCCCTGGAACCCCAAACACATCGTGCTCAGGCAGGGATCAGCCCTGGCATGCAGGGGGCGGTGGGGACGGACACCAACTGGGCAGGAGTCACAGGGAGCACCCCTCAGCTGGGGACTCACCCTTGAGTGCTCCACAGGGTTACTTGATGTCTCAGGTAGACAATTGTGACTTTCCATCCCTACTCCGCTTACCTTGACAAGATGGCCCCAGAGTGAGCCCCTAGAACATCACGCTGCAACCTTCCCCACAAACACACATACAGCAACCAAAATCCACATCCCAGGAGTGAAATGGAAATTCTACCCATTGCAGCAATCACAGAAAATTACTGGGCCAGATGACTGGCCAGAGGATGGCAGCCCTGGAGTTATCAGGGACTTGAGAAGCCATGAAGTCCAACCCCTCATTTTACAAATGAGGAAACTGAGGCCCAAGGAACAGGAAGCCTGAGGTGGGCCTTGAACCCAAGTCTCCCTGACCCCCCAAGTCCAGGGCTTAACCCACCACTCCACACGGCCTCCTCCTGGACATCAAAGCCTCCTGCTCTCAACAGATTCATCCCTAACTTGCCCTGATTGGTTAAAATACACATCCTAGAGCTCAGCCCACACAGCCCTTCTCCTTGATCCAGAGGCCTTTAACCCACATGTCATCCCCTGCCCCCAAGCTGTCCACACACCTGTTATGACTGGCACCCAGGGCAGTCAAGAGGACACCAAGGTCTCCCCCTGGAAGGCGGGGGGAGCCCCGTGACCCAAGCAGGGCTCTCCAGGATTTAAGGCTGGAATGACAGGTTTAAAACCAGCAAGACATCCATCTAATTATACAGCAAAGGACCAGAAAGACCTGAAATCAAGAAGCAGCGTCCACTGGCACAGCATTATTCCTTATCCATAAGGCAAAGAAAAAAGAGGTCACAGGATGAAAATTTATATTGCAGCATAAAATTATAATATATTTGCATCAATGATGAGCCTGGTCCTGTTAGTGTTAAAAGTTTCTGAAGGGAGCACAGACAAACAGGACAGCTTTGAAAGTTCCATCGGGAAGTTCAAGCTTGAGCGTGTGTGCGTGTGCGTGTGTGTGTGTGTGTGTGTGTGTGTGTGTGCGTGTGTGTGCTTGTTTTAAGAGAGCAAGTGTGGGGGCAGCTAGGTGGTGCAGTATACAGAGAAACAGCCCTGGAGTCAGGAGGACCCAAGTTCAAATCTGGCCTCAGACACTTACTAACTGTGACTCTGGGCAAGTCACTTAATCCCAATTGCCTTTAAAAAAAAAAGAAAGTGAATGAAACGGAAATTTTGTTTCAAATAGAATTCTATTCTGAGCTCTGCTGTGGCGCAGAAAAGCTCTTCTTGAGGAATTAAAGGTTGAATTTTAAAAGGCAATTTTTAATTTATTTTTGTTTGTTTTTTTTTGGTTAGGCAATGGGGTTAAGTGACTTGCCCAAGATCACACAGCTAGTAAATGTTATGTGCCTGAGGCCGAATTTGAACTCAGGTCCTCCTGAATCCAGGGACAGTGCTCTATCCACTGTGCTACCTAGCTGCCCCCTTAAAAAACAATTTTAAAGAACCACAGACCAGAAGAACACATGGGAGTTACCTACTGCCCCTTCCTTCCTCCTCCCTTCTGCCCTTCTTCCCAATACTCATGTTTAATGTAAGTTGTGAACATGGAAGAGACAAGACCTAGGCTGCCAAGTCTGCATGCACCTTCCTCCAGGCCCCTCCACACCTCCACAGCCAGGAACAATGGCTTGTGCCCCAGCTCCTCTGCCCCACCAATTCTGCACAGAAAGGAAATCCACAGATCAAATCCGGGAAAAGCAGGGCAGAAGCTGGGCTGAACCCCAAGCCATTCTGTACTACCTGCAGCCAGACGTCCACAGCTACTGCCTCACTTAGCTCTACCTAAGAAACCCAGCGTTAAATCAACACTGTCCCTTCTCCAAAGGGGTGGAGAGGGAGGCAGGGGAGTTTTCAGGATGTACAGTCCCTGTGCCCGGAGTCAGAAAGACCTGAGTTCAAATCCAACCTCAGAAACTTACAAGCTGTGTGAGCCTGGGCAGGTCACTTCACCTCAGTTTCCTCATTTGTAAAACAGAGGCCACAACAGCACCTACCTCGATATCTCAAAAGATTGCAAAGATCAAGTAGGTTAATATTTGTAAATCACTTCCAACGGTGTCTGGCGCTTAGCAGGCAGGTGCCTAATAAATGCTTTTTTTCTTCCCCTCCCCAAAACCTCCGGTTCCTGCTCGACTCCTGAGGCCAACGAGGAAGGTTCCCCTCACCTGGTGGGATGATGCCCGGGATCTGCTCTGTGACCTGACCATCTCTCCCAGGAGCGGCTAGGTGGGGAGGGGAGACTGGAGAAAGAGATCCGAGGTAAGAGGCCCATGCCCTGCCCTGCTAGCTCCCAGCACCCCGAGAGCTGCTGTCAGCACACCACGCTTCTCCCCCAGGCCCTTCCCCGCTGCACTTGGCCCCTCTGCCCGCCCAGCCCCCCACACGTATGTACTGCCAGGGGTCCCCCCCCAGGTCTGTATCCTCTATTCCCCAACCCCCATGCAGGTGTATTCAGCAGTCCCGGGCCCCTTCCCCGTGGTCCCCTCCCCCTCCCCCAGGCCCTCTCCACCTTTCCCGACGCCCTCCTCCAGGAGCGCTAGGGAAAGAGAGTGCCTCTCACTGCCAGGCCAGCAGAACACCGGGACCACACCCACCCGGGCTCCGGGCCGAGCTCATTCCTTCCCCTCCCCCGCTCCGAGGAATTCTGGGTAGCGGAGACTGAGGGAGGGGGTACTTAACCAGTGCGCACGCGCTCACGCCCTTTAACGAAAAGGGAAACTGAAGTCACTTTCCTTACGCAGCCTCGCTTGATCTTTGCGGCCACAGAGACCCTGACGCCTGTCCGAGCCTCAGTTTCGCCGCCGGCTCAGGGGATGGTCCTGGGTCGGGGGGTACCGAGGAGGGTTTGCATCGAGCGGCCCTGAGTTCAAATAGCGGTTCGGACCTCCGGGCCGCGTCCCTTCACCTCGGAGAGCCTCAGTTTCCTCCGCTGTGAAAGGAGGTGGTCGCACCGGGACGCCTCGGAGGCTCAGCTCGAAATTCCTTCTTGGGGATCTTCAGTTTCCTTGTCTGTAGCAAGTCGGAGCACCCACTACCGACCTTGGCGGAAGGTCCGGGGGCCAGTACCAAGGCGCCAAGGGGGCGGAGGCCCTCGGGTCAAAAGGGAGCCCTCCCTCCTGTCGCAGCCCCTTCCTGACTCCTTCCCCCCGGGGTCCAAGCCTGCGTCCTCCGGGGCCTAGACTGCCGAGCCCAGCCGGTTCTAGAGTCAGCCGAAGAGTCCTGGGGAGGTAGTGGTGGGGGGAGGGGAAACTGACCGAGCTGAAATTGATCAGCCGGCAGCACGGTGATTGGCTTGTGGACGCCGAAGGCCCGCCTCTACGGCGGCGCATCCCCGACTCCAGGGCCGGGGTCAGGGTTTATAATGATTGGCAGAATGGCCAGGGGGCAGCCAAGACCGCAGAGGAGTCGCCCACCAACTGTGCCACCCGCATTTGGAGGAGCTCCGGGTGCCAGAGGGCCTCCACAGGTGACACTCATAGGTGGGCGCTGGGCAGAGACCGTCTAAGCAGCCGTGGATGCCACGGTCAGACACTGACCGCCGGCGGCTGGGCTCATTCTTCACTCCCCCCCCCGCCCCCAACACACACACACACACACCCTCCAGCTCCAGTCGGGGACAAGCTGCTTGCACCGTGTGACGTCAAAGTATCCAACAGCCAGGTGATGAGCTTGGATTCTGGGGACAGCACATACGCCTTTTCTGCCAGGCTACAGCCTAGCTAAACTGTCACTAGGAAATCCAGCCCGTTCAGCTGGGGCTGTGCCCCTGCTGGCCCCTGGAGATCTTTCTCCGACTCTCAGACCCCCTGGATTCTATGGACTGACTTCCCATGAGAAGAAACTCGCAAAGGGGTTTTGGGGTTTCTCTCCTAGAGAAGGAAGACCGAGGGATTACTCGAACCTGGACATCTATGTTTCCCCCTCTCAGTAACAGGTCATTTAGGGAAGAAGGAGGGAAAAACCATTTGGTTTCCAGATAGAGGTAAACTTGTGACGTGGGACCCTTTAACTATAAAGGGGAAGAGAGGCCAACCCTAGAATGGATTTAGGATAGACCAAAAGCACCCCACTGCCATCTTGTCATTTCAGCCCACCACAGGGTCGGATTACCTCCACCCGGGTAGAGGTCTGAGGTTACAAAGGCGTAATTGTGGCCCCAGCCCATATGCCCTCTCCTCGTCCATGACCAGAGCACAGCCTGCCTCCGTGTGTGAATGAGTTTGTGTCTCCCGAAGATTTGTTGAGTAAGACTGTTACCTAGACCTCACCTAGTCCTCTTTCTTTTCCTAGACGTCTGGGCGTGGGATCGACTAAAGAGTCTGGTGTTTTATGCATGATTGACACTGTATCCTACCCGAAATTCTTAAGGGAACGTCATTTTGACTCTTACACATACACAAATTAAAAATAAAGGACACACGAAGAAAGAATTCCAGAGAAAGAATTAATAAATAGAACTAGGTATAAAATAATTTTATATGTAATATACATTATACATATATAATATATGTATATCTGTGTCTAATAACCATCTCTAGGGCAGGACAGAGGAAGAAAAAAGAAATTTACCTGTTAACTTATATATTAAAGGGAATAGCAAGTTGTACATAATAGATTTGTAGTTTCATGTGCAATTCTTTTTTTTATCATATGTTATGAAAATGTGTCTTTTATTCCACAAATTAAAAATCAAATACATTTTAAAAAAACATGTGACTTGTGTAAGCCAATGATTATTGGTAAAGTGGTCTTCAGGACTAAGGGGTGGATTGTGCTCATTGTAAACTTTCTAGCATTTGATGCAATAATGATAATGATAGGACTCCATATGGCATCACTTGGGCTAAGTGGTCCCAATGCCCATAAAGTCTTTGGGTGATGCCACGTTTGGACTTTTCCACTATTAATTGTTCGTCGGGCATCTTGACAGGATGACACTCTGGACCTCCTGCAGGGGTCTGAGCCTGTCCTCTCATCTGCTCCTGAGATAGCAGTAGATCCGACCCTAGTCTGTGGTCCTAATAAAGAAACTCCCTCTATGTGAGCCTCACCCAAGACTAGCACGGACAAGCGACCCTGACACGTACTGCACCAAATCTGGGTATTATTGGGAACGCCTCCTGCCGCCTCTGGCAGGGATTACTCGTTCTCAGCCACGCCCATTCTTAGGGTATGGTTCAGTGTTTCCACCCCACCTCTGCCGGGTGAGTTTCTGCCGTAGTGTTTGTATGTCGTGTGTTTTGTTTGCCAGCTAGCTGAGACAGAGCACTAAATTTTAGCAGCTTCGTGCCAGATTCCTGGAAAACTCGAGCTGCCGGCGGGTGGATGACTCAGCGGAGCTCCAAGAGACCGGCTGTCCAAAGTACAGGCACACCTCGGAGGTAGTGCAGATTCGGTCCAGACCGCAGGAATATCATCATAAACTGAGCCACACAACTTCTGGGGTTTCCCAGTGCATATAAAAGTTATGTTTACGCTATTCTATAGTCTATGATGTTTGGTGTTAACTCGTCATGACCCCTTTTGGGGTTTTCTTGGCAAAAATACTGGAGTGGTTTACCATTTCCTTCTCCAGCTCATTTTACAGTTGAGGACTGAAGCAAAGTGAAGTGACTTGCTCAACTTACACAGCTGGTAAGTGTCTGAGGCTGAATTTGAACTCACAAGGATGAGTCTTCCTAACTCCGGGACGGCACTGTATCCACCTCCTAGCTGCCACCTAGTAAGCGTGCAATAGTTGTCTAAAGAAAAATGCACATACCTTAAACATACATTATGGCTTTTAAAAAAAAATGATAACCATCACCTGAGCTTTCAGCAAGTCCTAATCTTTTAGCTGGTGGAGGGTCTCGAGCCATGCTACTGGCTGCTGGGTGGCAGTTGCTGAAGGTTGGAGTGTGGCAATTTCTTATAATCAGATCCCAATGACTTTGCCACATCAATCAGCTCCTCCATTCACTTGAGCCCTTATAGGACAATGTAGGATCATTAATGGGCTTAAATTCAGTATTGTCTTGTCTCAGGAAATGCTGGCAGGTTGGTGGGGCAGTCAGAACACATACACAGCATTTATCAACTACATTGGATGCTTTATGTGGGTGGGGTTTGTGGGGCCCCAAAACAATGACGACAGTAACATGAAAGATCACTGCTCACTGGTCACCTTAACAGACAGCACAATAATGAAAACGTTGGGACCAGTTCGAGCAGAGCATTCCCAGACTGTGACATGATGTGGGCCCCTGCCGTTGGGGAAATGGTGCTCATGGATTTGCTGGATACGGAGCCGTTTGTGGCCACCAATCTTCAGTTTGTAAAAACGCAGCCTTCCAAGGGCAATAAAGTGAAGGGCCTGTGGTCTGCTTGTGGTCTCTTCCCTCCCCCTCCCTCATTAGAATGGGAGCTCCTGGTGGGCTGAGTCTTTGGGTTCCTGGCACCCAGGAGGTACTTAATAAATGCTCACTGACTGACTGTATTGACATTGACTACTAGGTAGTTTCCCCCAAGTTCACAACCTAGAAATCAAGCTGTAGGCCTCCCATCTCTCCCCACTCTGCTCTCCACCACCCCTATCCAATGTGTTGCCTAGGCCTGTCCATCTCACCTCTGCAATATTTCTCTACAATTCCCCCTTCTCTCCTTTGACACTGTTCCCCCACTGGTGCAGGCCCAGACAATTGCAATGGGGGATGGGGGAGTGGGGGGCTGCCTCAAATCTCCTCCCGAAGTGATTTTCCTAAAGCACAGGTGTGACCATGTCACCCCCAAATAAATAAACTACAGTGGCTCCCTATGGTCTCAAGAATCAAACAGCAAATGTTCTGTTTGGCATTCGAAGCCCTTTGTAACCAGCCCCCTGCCAGTCCCCACCACACACTTTTTTTGATCTGGTGACACTGGTCTCCTGGCAGGTCCACAAACAAGGCCCTCTGTCTCTGGGCTTGGGAGCTTTTCTCTGGCTGGCCCTTCTGCCTGGCATGCTCCCCCTCCTCTCCTCTGACTACTGACCTCCCTTCCAGTCTCAGCCAAAACCCCACCATGTACAGAAGCCTTTCCCCACCCTTCTTAATTCTAGTGCCCTCCCTCTCTCCATTTCTTCCTATTTATTCTGGCCAAAGCTAGTTGTGTCCTCCATTAGACTCTGAGCTCCTTGAGGGCAGGCACTGGCTCTTGCCTCTTTTTGCATCCCCAGCATTTAACACAGTGCTTGGCACATAGTAGACACTTAACAAATGCTTAATGACTGACTGACTGATAGTTATTGAATGAAGGCCACAACCTTTTGGGTTGGGGGAACCCCTTTGTTTAAAGCCTCTTCCTTAAAAACTCCAGAAAGAAAATGCAAATGGCAGGGAAAGAGAGAAATCCTTGGGTCGTTGCTTCATCCAGATGGACAAGCCTGACTGGATCAAAGCCCCAGGAAGGTATGTGTATGTGTGTGTGTATGTGTGTGTGTGTTTGTGTGTTTCATGTAGCTCAGCCAAGAGCAGAAAACAAGTGTGGGAATGTGTTCATGTGGCCTGGCATAACCTTGCACAAGTCATTGACTCTGCCTCAGTTTCTTCACTTGTAGAATGAGAATAACAGCCCCTGACTCAAAGGGTTGTTGTGAGGGTCAAATGAGATAATGTAGGTCAAGAGCTGAGCACAGTGTCTGGTACACAGTGAGTGCTATAAAAACGTTAGCTATCATTATCACTATTATTATTATTATTATTATTATTATTATTATTATTATTATTATTATTATTATTACTGTTAGGATTACATGCCAGAGAATCAAGGCATGAGTGTCCACTGTCACTTGCTGTAAAAGGAGAGGCCAGGTGAAGCAAGAGTCAGAAGAGCAAAGCTGCTGTTTCCCTTACTTTTCCTCTTTCCTATGGTCCAAGCAAGAGTGTGTGTTTATTTTGTTCCTTTGGCTTCCTCTGTTTTTGGAAGTAATCTGATCAAAGGAGGTAATACTTGCAAGGCTCTTAGCGTGGGATTCTTGGGAGCTTCCCTGCTAGAGGGCGATCTGGCCAACTTCTGGAGCTGTCCTGAGGAAGGGGTTGGGGACTTACCCTGGCTTGGCTGACATTTGCAGAAGGAGATAAGACATTGAAAGAAAAAAATCAAAGTTGAAATCATGCTCATGGAGGACACCCACAGTTGGGGAGCACAATAAGGGTGATGAGTCCATGAGAAGTCAGAGAGGCTGGGGCATACCCAGGGAGAGCATTGACAACAGAGGGTGGTGGTGCCTTCAGGCTTCCCTGCCAGTCTCCTTAACGTTTTTCTGCCTGCAGCTAGGCCCTCCCCTTGCTCACTTCTCTTTCACAGCTTGGACACTGAGGGGGTTGGTAAAACTGCCCAACTCCCATTCGGCTAATCAGTCCCAGGTTTCCCGGGCATCTCTGTTATCTCCAGCCCACCCTTAGTCGACTTCTAGTCTCTGATCCAAGAACAGACCTAACAGTGAAGTGGGGTCAGGCTTTTGGGTGGCTGTTGAGAGGACTCTAGTCAGTGCCCTGGCTGGGGAAAAGCCAAAACTTGCAGGGAGGAGGAGGGAAAGTGCAGGGGACAGGTAGGGAGAGACAGAGGTGAGCTGAAGGCAGCCCAGCCCCGGCTGAGCAGGAGGCAGGGAGCTGCCTGTGTGGGACTGAAGAAAACAGGCCTCAGCAGGCAGCTCCAGCCTGGTGGAGGGGCTCCTCGCTCAAACAGAAGGCAAGGAAAGGAAGTCAGGCCCTGTTGAGGGTCCCCAACCAGCCCTGCTACCCCACTGGCTCTGCTCAGCCCGTGGAGATGGACAGTGTCCAGCATAGGTTCCCTGTGAAGCTCAGGAGGGCTCAACCAGCATCTGAGGAGAGGGACTGAGCAGTTGAGAAGCAGGTTGTACCTTGGAGGAGAAAAAACATGTCTGGCCTAGTGGGGTGTAGTCGCCTATCTATTCTACCTTGGTCTGCCCCTCTGACAATGGAGCTGATGGAGGCTCTTTGAAATCACCACAAGAGGCACACTGTCCGTTTAGCCTTGAGCCTGTGTGAGCCGAGCTCAGGGGGGCCAAAGCCCCTGGCTCCAGGCCCTGGGGAGGTTGGTGGAGGGCAGAGGTCCCTCCTGGCCTGGCCCTGGCTCTTCCAGCCTAGGGAGGTTGGGATCAGTGCTGGGATTAACAAAACTTATTGCCAATAAATTTTCAAACACATTTATCCCTTCAAATTCAACATGTGACTTTGTTGTTATTCAGTCATTTATGTTGTGTGTGACTCCGTGACCCCATTTGGGGTTTTCTTGGCAGAGATGCTGGAGTGGTTGGCCATTTCCTTCTCCAGCTCATTTTACAGATGAGGAAACTGAGGCAAACAGGGTGAAGTGATTTGCCCAAGGTCTCAAAGGTAGTAAATGTGCAAGGCCAGATTTAAACTCAGGTCTTCCTGACTCCAGGCCTAGCTCTCTATCCGCTGCCAAGTCAGTGAGTAAATA